AGTAGGAGGCACGGCCGATCCACACTCTGGATCTGAACCAGCCACCCACACAAGCGCTGGTGTTGGGTTCCTCTAAGTGAAAAACACGAGCAGAGATGCTAAGAGTACAGGCTCTCCAAGGGCACCATTCCATGACCTGAAGATGCCTCAGATCAGTTTCCTTGGAACCTTTGTTTTGCAGGTACAGCAAAAGGCTAACATTTGAGGGGAAATTTTCAACTCAAACAACTAAAATAACTGAATTAAGGGCCAGAATGTCTTGGAAGAATCAGGTTTCAAATTCTCACTGGGATCCTCTTAGATCAACATTCCCTTCTCTAAAACTAAACATCTGGAGTAAAAATGAAAATGCTGTGTAACCTTAGAAATGAAAAAGGTTTTGCTTTTCTGTTTTTCACCAGCGCCTGGCCTGAGCTTTACCATCCACTGCACAACAGCAAGGTACAGGCAGGCAGAGCTGGCCGGCCACATGCCTATCCTGGGCTGCCAGGGCGCTCACCCAGGGCCTCTCCCCCAAACACCCCAACTGGTTTAAGCAGAAGCTCAGATCTAAGGGGAGGTGCGAAACATCTGTGCCTTTAGATGTTAGGAATTCTTATCTAGGGCTGGAGGGTCTTGTGTTTCTCACTTCACTGTCAAGGGAAGTAAGCTCATGGCCATGTTGACAGGGGCATCTCTTGGTGGGAATCTTGCTTGTACATTAGAGCTGGTTTCCAGGTGGGCCTGGGGCCTCCCAGACTATCGAGCATAACACTCATCAGTAAGCATGCTGTAGTCTTCCTTCTCTATTGTCACTCCCCAAAGATGGAGACTGTATGAGAAATGAGGTGTCCCTACCATTTGTCACGTCAATAAGCCAGGAAGGTCCCAACAGCCAACATGGTGACCAAGGCATGGCTCCTGGCCGCAGAGCACCACTCGCACTTGTCCTTGGCCTTGTTGCAGCTCTTCCTGCAGTACTTCTCAGAGGGGTCATCCAGGGCCAGGCTCACACCTTTGTACTCGTCCCAGGCATCCTTCCTCCCCCTTGATTGGGTCCTGGATATCTTGCTCTTTCACATCAAGGCCACCAGATCCACTCCAGCCCATTTTCAGCAGCATTTGATACTTTTCCTCTTCCCTGAGCCTTAAACAACCACAATGTCCCTTAATGAGTGAATGGTTAAAACACTACAGTATATCCATATCGTGAACTACTACTCAGCACCATAAAGGAACAAACTATGGATACACACAATAGCTTGCATGAACCTCAAGGATATCATGCTGAGAGAAAAAAAGTTAATGTCAAAAAGTAACATATGATTTCATTTATAGAACACTCTTGAAATGTCAATATTACAGAATTAGAAAACAGATTAATGGTTTCCAGGGGTTAGTAGGGAATCCAAGTGTGGGAGCAAGGGAGTGACCACAGCATGAGGGAGAACTTTGGAGTGATGGAATAGCTCTGTATCTCTATTGTAGTTGTGGTTATATAAATCTACCCCTGTGATAAAATTACATACACACCAATGTCATTGTACCAGTGTCAAATTCCTGGTTTTGATATTATTGCACTATAATTACATGAGATACAACCATTGGGAGAAATTGGGTAAAAGATACATGGGGCCTTTCTGTCCTATCTTTGCAACTTCCTTTGGATCTATAATCATGTCAAAATAAAAGGGCTTTTCAAAAAGAAATGGCATATGTTAAAGAAATGTATATATTTCTTTGCATTTGAAAAAAAGTTTGTCCTAGAGATTATGCCATCTACTTCATCATAGCTGTTTACTTTGTCATTTTTTTTTAAATTTCAGCATTGTTTAACATTTGGACTTTTTCTGAGTTTAGTTATAAACTTGTTGCAATAAATAGTATATGATATCAGCAAGTGCTTATCACAGTACATTCATAGTAGTTGGTTACAGTGGTAATCTATTCTAAAAGATTGTGCATATAATTTGATGGATCAGTCCTATTAAAGTACTGGCAGTAAAAGTTTTATATGTTGTATTTATCTATATGATAAATTTCTAAGAGTAAAATTACTAGATAAATCTATTTTTATTAAGCAAAATTGAAATTAGTTTTAATTCTTAGTACAAATAGTGTCTCATCATTATTTCTTTTTATATAATTTCCTAGGAGTCTTTGTCTACTTATTTTAATGTGAATTTAGAATCAATTTTGCAAACTAAAAATTCACATTGACACATTATTGGAAATACATTAAAATTATAGATTAAAATAGGAAGAGAGAGTGTCTTTCCACTATTGAGTCATCTTAAGGACACACACTGTGAATGTAATTCTTCAGGTCATCTTAATTATTCCTTAATTTTTCATATAGATAAAAAGTATTTCTTGTTAAATTATTTCCACTTTTGAGTCTTTTGTAAATTGTATGCATTCTAGTACATTTTCTAACTGAACTGAAATTTTTTAAATAAGAAAATCATTGATTTGTGTATTTTTAAAAACTCCCCTCTACAGAATATGGTTCAACCTACTGTGTTTATAACTGTCTTAGTTTTCCTCCTGAGCACCAGTGAACACCCAGCCACAGCACATGCGTGCACACACACACACACACACACACAAACAGGTACACACACCCGAAAGTGGAGTTAAGTGTATCTATGTGATTAAGTTCTAATAAATAAATGTGGGCAGAAGGGATGTGATACACTTTCAGGCCTTAGCCATGAAAACCACCAGCATAATCTACACATTGTCTCTCTGCCAACCAGATGTGAGGGTCCAACAAAGGACTCTAAGTCCAAAAGGATAGGCTGGTCCTTCAGTCATTAAACAGAAGGCAAAGGGTTGATCAATTGCCAAACACCAGCACTAAACATGGAAGAGAAATCAAAGCCATGGGACTTTTCTAAAAGCAGCATATGTGTGCAACTGTTCAGTATCTTTCAACTGCTTTGGACTTTGAAAATGCATTTTTATAAGTATCAAGGGATATTAAAATTTACCAGTGGATTTTTTACAAAAGATTCCAAATAGCCAAAGCAATTTGGAAAAAGAAGAAAAAAACTGGATCACTGTCCCAGATTTCAAGATACACTGTAAAGTTGGAGTAATCAAAATAGTATGGTACTGGCACAAAAACAGATATATTGATCAACAGAACAGAACAGAGATCCCAGAAATAAACCCACATTTATATGGTCAATTAATCTTCAACAAAGGAGGCAAGAAAATGCAATGGGAAAAAGACAGTCTCTTCAACAAATGGTGTTGGGAAAATTGGACAATTACATGCAAAAGAATGAAACTGGACCACTTTCTACACCATGCACAAAAGTATCTCAAATTTAAAAACTTAAATGTGAGACCTGAAACCATAAAATTCCTACAAGAGAGCACAGGCAGTAATTTCTCTGACATCAGTTTGGCAACATTTTTCTAGATATGTCTTCTAAGGCAAGGGAAACAAAAACAAAAATAAACTATTGTGACTATATCAAAATAAAAAGCTTCTGCACAGCAAAGGAAACAATCAACAAAATGGAAAGACAACTACTGAATGGGAGAAAATATTTGCAAATGACATACCTGATAAAAGGTTAGTATCCAAAATATATAAAGAACTTATACAGCACAGCACCAGAAAAACAAATAACCCAATTAAAAATGAGCAGAAGACATGAACAGACATTTCTCAAAAGAAGACATACAGATGGCCAACAGACACACAAAAAAGTGCTCAGTATCACTAATAATCAGAGAACTGCAAATCAAAACATCAATGAGATATCAACTTACACCTGTCAGAATGGCTAAAATCAAAAACACAAGAAACAATTGTTGGCAAGCATGTGGAGAAAAAGGAACTCTTGTGGTCTGCTGGCAATGCAAACTGATGCAGCCACTGTGGAAAATTGTATGGAGATTCCTCAAAAAATTAAAAATAGAATTACTATATGATCCAGTAATTCCACAACTGGGTATTTACTCAGAGAATATGTAAGCACTAATTCAAAAAAATACATGCCACCCCTATGTTTATTGCAGCATTATTTACAATAGCCAAATTATGGAAGTAGCCCAAGTATCTATTGATAGATGAATGGATAAAGAAGAGATGGTACATATATATAATGGAATATTAGCCATAAAAAAGAGAAGGAAATCTTGCCATTTGCAACAACATGGATGGATCTAGAGGGTATAATGCTAAGTGAAATAAGTCAGTCAGAGAAAGATATAATATGATTTCATATGTAGAATTTAAGAAACAAAACAAATGAACAAAGAAAAAAGAAACAAACCAAGAGACAGACTCTTAACTATAGAAAACAGACTGATGGTTACCAGAGGGAAGGTCGGTAGAGAGATGGATGAAATAGTTAAAAGGGACTCATACCATGATGAGCACTGAGTAATGTATAGAATTCTTGAGTCACTATATTGTACACCTGAAACTAATGTAACACTGTATTTTAATTATACTGAATTAAAAGGAAGTAAAATAAAAAGCATGTTAAAAAATTTGCCACTGGATATTTTTAATTAAGAAGAAATTGATTTTTCATTTTTTTAAATTATTGATTTTTTAAATAAAATTATATAGTTTCAGAGATATCCAAAATTAATTTTTTTAAATTCCTAAGAGGAAAAAAAACATGGTTGAGAATATTAAATTAGTTACCGCGAAGTTTATTTTTTAAAAATAATTCTGCCCATTATTAAAATATAAGGAATAAAGATGCACCTTTAACTTCAAAAACTATGTAATCTATGACTAAAACTTTAAAATAAATGCTTTTATACATTTCACATTTCATTTAAGTAATGTATGCATTCTGTCTAGTTTCCTTGAAGGGATAGATGCAGACATATGGGCATAGAGATAGATAAATAGGTAGATGATTCCTAGATGATAGATAAATAGATAGATATAAATATATGGGATATATATGTATTATATATCTGGGATATATGCAAATATATGGGATATAGATAGATAGATAGATAGATAGATAGATAGATAACCTGGGACTCACTGCTGCAGGATGGGGAATTTACCATGGATCTTCTACCAAGAGCACTGGGGGAGCCCCCACTTTCAACATCACTGTCACCATGACTGCCAAGACGCTAGTCCTGCTGATGGGCAAAGAAGGTGTCCACAAGTGGTATGATCAACAAGAAATGCTATGAAATGGCCTCCCACCTGCGGCTTTCCCAGTACTGACCTCATCCGTCCCTTCCCCCCACCATTCCCCATGGCTTTTGCACCCCTCTCCTTCCCAGATACACACATACACCATTTTTATTTTTTGGGCCATTACCCCACACCCCTTATTGCTGCCAAAACTACATGGGCTGGGGGCTGGGGCTGGATGGACAGACACCTCCCCCTACCCAAACCCCTCCTGTGTGTGGTTGGAAAACTTTTTTGTTTTTTGGGTTTTTTTTTTTTTCCTGAATAAAAAAGATTCTACTTAAAAAAAATTATATTCCAAGATGTTATAAATGTGAAGTATTTGGAAATTTTTCATGATTTCCTGAAAACTGAGTTTATCCAGAAAAATAAGTGCTGTGCCAGATAAAGTGGTTTATTGAAGGGTCCCTAAGGATATAGAAATAAAGGTGTAACGATATAGAAATAAGAAAACTTTATCAATTCCAAGTTAAAACAGTTTCATATATTTTCTTCTCATGATTCATATTTCTCTTTTTTCTCATTTTTCTTATGGTACTTTTTCTTGCCTTATTATGTCTGATATCTTCATTATATTGCTCTTTTTATGTCTTTTGGTAAACAGGCACTTGAGGGTACCTCACATTGTTTTTCTTTGTGTAATGGATCAGCTTAAATCGGCCTGGAGGTTATTGCAAAATGATGTTTAAGATACTCTGTAAAACTCATTAACTCACATAGCTCAACTCGATCAATAACTCTTAAAATGCTTATTTCTCATTCCCACTGTTTTTCTAGTTCCAGTCTCTTCTAATATTTTACATTATTTTTTAATTATTTTAATTTAATATCTCTGAGAAAAACTTACATTCTTCCACATTACTTCAATTTGCTTTGAATGGGCCTCTTAAATCTAGTTTTTTACTATTTATGTTCTTTCCCTAATGTTATAGTGTTTAACTTCCAAAGCTTTTATTTAAATTTAACACCATCCCTGAACAATGTCATGTAGATTATTATCTTTCTTTAGTTAGCTTTTCCTTTGAACAAATTTTTTTTCAATTTTAGTAACTAACATGTTAATTATTAAAATGTGGTACATTTCTTTGACTCCTACTATCCATTCTTTTCCTTGCTAACAATTAAAAGGCACTATTAATTTTTATATATTCAACGACAACTTTTTTTCAGCATTTACAAAACACTGGAAATAAGTCATATAGTCAGTGTCAAATCACCTTTTATTTTATCTTTTTCTTTTATGTTAAGTTTCTATTTCTTTGCTTTTCAAGTGATTGAAAGATATTTCCAGTTGGGTCATAAATATTTGGAATATTTTATTTATGCACTACTTTTAAGTCCTTTTTTGGAGTAAATGTAGGTGTTTCGTGTGTGTGTGTGTGTGTGTGTGTGTGTGTGTGTGTGTAAAAAAGAAGGAGAGGGAGGAAATCTCCCTAGGTATCTCAGCCTGTGCTTAAATTTTCTCTTTAGCCATTTACGAGTTTTATTATGTTATAATCATAGTATAGTGACTGCAGTGTTAATAATTTATTAGAATTACAGAGGTTTTTTAACCTAAAGTAATTTTTTAAATGTTATTCCTACATGTGTTCAAAGAAAAAATAAAAACAAGTTCAGATATTATTGAAATATACTGGGATACAACCGAGCAAAGCAAAAAAAATTCTTAGTTTTAAATGTTTATATTTCTAAAAAGGAAAAATAGCACAAATTAATTAAACACTCAATTCAAAAAACTAGAAAAATAAAGTGAACCTAAGAATATTTGATGAAAGGAATTAATAAAGAAAAATGCAAACATTAAGAAATTGGAAGACAGAAAAAAATTATACAAATAATCCATAAAACCAAGTGTTGGTTGCTTACAACAAAAGCAGATCACAGAACAGATAAATTACTAGTTCATTTAATCAAGAGAAAAAGACAAAAAGCACAAACACGGAAAATAAAAAGGAGCACATATTTTAATTTATATGAAGAAGAAAGTAATCTTAAATTTTTCCATTCCTCAATTTAGAATGAAGATGAGATGGCAATCTACTGAAAATAAAATTATCTTCTGTAACTCCCAAAATTTCAAACAACCAGTCTATACTATATGTTATATAACTCAAACATTTTCTTCATTGTTTATTTGTACTCAAGGTCCAAGGCAAATCATAAAATTGAGATCAGAGAGACAGCATTGGGAATTATAATAAGGTGTGGATCACAGAATGCTAAAGTAAAAATCATTGATTTTCCAGAATGTTTATGAGTCATGGAATTCAACCAAGCCATATTAAGGAAACAATGAAACTAATTATGGGCAGCATCAACCTCCTCACACTGAGTTTGCCTAGATAGGCAGTTCTGGAAGCTCTTTGGTGTCCTGAATTTGTCATTGCTTTGACTAGAAAGAATACTTAGTTTCATAAAAAAAAATAGAATATATCACTTTATGACTGAGGACAGGGTTCAGACTGACATTAACATGGTCTCCAGCAACCCGCGGTTCAGGAGTGAACAATCAAGATTCTGTTGGTGCTGTGAATAACACTGCTGTAAATATTGTGGCATGAAATACTCCAAAACCAATTGCTCAAGCCATCTCATAGTCCAAATCATCTAAACAAACCTAGTTTGTAACTAAGCTGCCCATTTCTCTTCACATCTATCAATGGAGAGATTCGGAATTCAGTTTTACTGAGTCCCTCCCATGAAGCTAAAACTGTCTACAAACACCTGCAACTAAAAATAATAAAAGCAACGGTAACAAGAAAACCCTGAGAAATACTGATAAATATCTAGGGGAGGGTTTACAGTAGCAGAGCATGGATAGCATTGGGGCAGTACACTGGGAAGCCCAGAACCAGACCCTCTGTCCTATTTCTCTCAGAGTCACCATGGAGTGCTGTCATCAGAGCAGGTAGGTAGGGGAAAGAGACACAGAATAGAGAGCCATCTCAGAAACCCCCTCCAGTCATCACAGAACTACACACGTGCCCACAAACACAAACAAAATAAATGCGTATAATATCTCACTCTGTTGAAAAATTATCAGGTCTAAAAAATGGCAATCATGAAAAGCGATTTACAAGGAAATGTAAAGGATGTATATCACACATAAACAGATTTACTTTAATTTTTAATTTTTTACTATCGATGGCACATAACTAGAAAATTAGACAGGAAGAATTATTAGAAAAAATTTTTAAAGTTGGTCTACTTTGATAATGCTCAAGAAAACAATGGTTATTTACAGACTGCTCATTCTCAGAGTGAGAATTCTGTATTCTCACTATACATTCTATAGTATAGAATTCTATACAGAATATCTCATTACTGAAATATACATTGACTCTTTGAGGAAAAAATAAAAAAACCACAAATTATGTATACTTAAAAGTCTATTTATAGAAAATCTTAATTAAAACTGGGCTGAGTTACTGGTATAATTTCTTATCAACCTACTGATTCAACCACATTTAATTTGAACTAAAGTCCATATCAAAGTTTAGATAAGAATCTGTGTTTTGCAACTCCTAAGTGTAATTATTTACTTTTAATTTTTAACCTAATATTTTTTTTAGTTCTGTCTAAATAAAAATTGGCCCTTAAAAATAGCCTCTAATATATTCAAGTCTGCAAATGTTAGTTGGAGGAAACTATTATTTTTAAGTATCAAACTGTTTTTGAATAATACATGGGATACTATAATTTTACTACATTAATAATGAAAAAAATGAATTTTGGAAAGTTTTCCTGTGTATCTCACTAATCCTTATGACAACATCATTTAATTGCTGCTGTCCATCTCTCATTTTCACTTCCCTTTATATGGTGATTGTGGAAGTACAGTCTCAGCTAATTGCCTCCACCTGTAAATGAAACGTGTCACTCATGTTCACATTTTATCGATCAAAGCAAGTCATATGTCATATCTAATCTTAAAGGAACAGGGTGATGTAATTCTCCCAAGTAGTCAACTAGAGAAGAACCAGACATTGATGAACTGTAGTAATAGTTCAACTTTCTGGTGACCAAATAGGAGGACACTTTCCTACCCTCACACATTATGCATTCTATTCCTACCCAAAGTATATAATCCCAAAAGTTATTCTAATAATGCAATCATCTTCAGTGCCCAGAATCCTTTGGTGAAGGGTGATAGTCTCTATCTCAGTCAAATGTGGCAATTTTTGATTCATTGTCTTATGAATTATAATGATAAGTTACCTGACCCACGCACAGTCAATAATCAATATTTCAGTGCAGCCATGCTAATCACAATAAACATAATAAACTCTCAGAGAGGGAGAGATAGGTGACACATATCAATGACTGTGATAGATAATTTTATGTGGCAACTTGACAGAACCATGGAGTACCCAGCATTTGGTCAAACATCCTGGGTGTATCTGTAAGGGAGTTTCTAGATGAGATTAACATTTGAATCTATGGACTAAGTAAAGTCAATTGCCCCCCATAATGTGGGCAGGCCCTAATTAGTGGAAGGCCTGAAGAGAACAAAAGGATGAACATCCCACACGTGAGGAGAAATGTCCTCCAGCCTGTCTTGAGCTGATTTTATTAGGTTTTTTATTCCTTGAGCTGATTTTAATAGGTTTTATTCCTGCCTTTGTAAAACTTTTGGCTTTTCCTGGGTATTGAGTTTATAGGCCTTCAGACCCAAACTATACCATTGGGTCTCCCGGATCCCCCACTTGTTAACTGTAGATCACAAGATTTGTCAGCCTCCACAATCATGTGAGCACATTCCTATTTCTATTTCTATTTAAAGTAGTTTTTGGAGAAATCCAAAGACAATAGGGGAGACAAAAAAAAAAAAGACACTGGAAAGAAAAAAAAGACATTGGAAACCTCTGGCAACTACAGTATAGCAACCATTAAATACAGTATAATCCCTACCAAGATTAACATAAAATTTCACACTAAAGTCCTTTTACCTCAGTTCTAATTATCAAATACAACAGATCTGGCTTTCAACAAAAAATTGTGAGGCATGAATGAAGCAAGAGAAAACACAATATGAAGAGACAAAAGAAGTATTAAAACCAAATTCAGATATGATACATGCTTTATAATTATCAGACAGGAAATTTAAAATAACTACAATTAATATGTTATTGACTCTAACAGGAAAAGTGGAAACATAAAAGATCACATAAATTACTCAAAGCAGAAAGAGATAAAAATTCTAAGAATGTATAAAAATGGTAGAAATGTAAAATATTTTAACAGAATTGAATAATTCCTTTGATAAGGAATTATAGACTTATAATAATAGACTGGACATGGCTAAGGAAAGAATCAACTGACTTGAAGATATATCAATATTAAACTTCCCAAATTAAAATGCAATGAGGGGAAAAAGTGAAGAAAAAGGCAG